TCACTCGGTAACAATACAGCCCATCCGGGGTCACGAAGGCTGTCTTGCTCTCGTCTTCATGGTGCATCATGATCTGATGGTATCCCTTGAAGGCATCCATGAAGCTCATTAACTCGGCCCCAGCCGTCTCGTCGACCATCTGATGAATGCTCGGTAAAGGATACGGGTCGAGCGGACAGGCTTTATTGAGGTCCGTAAAGTCGATGCACATCCTCCATGCTGGGGGCTTAGGAACAAGAACAATATTTGCCACCCACTCAGGATAGACCACCGGACGGATGTGCTCGATCGCCGCCATCTTTTTGACTTCTTCTCTTACAAACTCGCGGCGATCGGAGGAGAGGTGTCGTGTCTTTTGCACGACCGGCTTAGCTGCGGGATCGACGGCCAATTTGTGACAAATGACCGACCGATCGATCCCGGGCATGTCTTCAGGCCCCCATGCAAAAATATCGGCATACTCCCGGAGCACGGCCAGAACTTCCGCTCGGAGCTCGGGAGTGAGGGCTCGGCCAATCTTAATCTTCCTGTCAGGGCGGCCCTCGGACAGGGGAACTTCTTCTATCTCTTCGGAAGGCTCAGGCTACTCCTTCCGTTCCTTAGCCTCCTCCTTGGCTATGGTGTTCACCCGGGAAGATGGACCGGAATCACGTCTATTGACCGCTCGGGTGTAACACTTCCGGGCGGATTGGACATCGCCACGGACCACGCCGACCCCGTTGGGGGTGGGGAATTTCATGCATAGGTGAGGCATAGAAATTATCCCACCGATCTTCATAATGGCGGGTCGGCCCAAGATAATGTTGTGGACGCAATGGAGGTTGACCACAACAAATTCCAGCTCCGTTTGGATCGACTTTGGAGGCGTGCCGATCTCGACCGGGAGCGTTATTTTTCCCTCGGGGTAGATAAGAGCCCCGGTAAATCCCGACAGTGGTACACCGACCGGAGTCAGCTCCTTCCTGTCAAGGCCAAGCTTCTCAAACACGTCCAAGTATAGGACGTTCACACTGCTGCCCGTGTCAACCATAACCCTTTGGACGTCCGTCCCCTTAACGTCGATCGTGACCACGAGCGCCTCCATGCCGTGGTCACTGCTGCTAGGTTGGTCCTCAAGGGTGAAGGTTATGGGTTCCATCTTCTGCCTCTTCCCGGTTCCCCGGGAATCCACTATTGCGACCGGGCAATTAGTCCGCGGTCGGGAAGCATCTTCCAGCCCACCAAAAATGACGTGGATGGTAGGCTTTCCGGACGGGCGGCTACCGGACGGAGGGTCGAGGTCCCGTCGGTCATCATGACGACCATCCCTTCTGTCTTGCCCAGATCGATCAGAGCGGTGATGAGAACGTCTATGATCCCTCCGATCGGTGTTCCTCTTGTTTTCCTCTCTCTTCCCCACACACTTGTCCAATTTTCCCAAATTGAGCAAATCTTCCAATAATTGGCGCAAGTGGGTACACTCCTCGGTGTCATGCCCGGCGCATCGATGGTAAGCACAATGCTTACTCTTGTCAGGGCCGTCTCGATCGGGATGGGGAAGTTTGATGAGATTGCAGGACTGGGCGTATTGCATGGTCTCCGCTGCGGATCGGTTCAAGGCTGTAAACTCCCCATGCCTGGTGCGGGGTCGGGGATTGTCATCTCCCGATCGATGTTCTGCCCGGCTGGCCGGTTTACGAGACGAAGAGCCGACCTCCTGCGAGCGCTTGACGGCATTCGCCTCACCTGCGTTGGCGTAATCAGTGACCCTTCGGAGGGCCTCCTCATAAGTGGTCGGGGGGTGGAGGATAAAATCCTGGTATAGATACCCCGCCCGGAGGGAGATGTGAAACATGTGAGTGGCGGTCGCGTCATCCATGGGCTCGACCTCCCCGACCGCCGCCTTCCACTTGATGAGGAAGTCGGTCAAGCTTTCCCCTTCGAGCTGCTTGGCCTTTTCGAGGTACATGTAGGACTTCCTCACCACTTTGGAAGTAATGAACTTCCGTACAAACTTGATCGCCAGGGTCTCAAATTTGTCGATTGACCCCGGCTGCAGGGTTCGGAACCATTCTGCCGCCCGACCGGTGAGCGTTGAGTAGAAGGCCCTGCACATCACGGCGTCTGAAACGCCCTTCAGCATCATATTGCTGAAGAAATCATTCACGTGAGCCTCAGGGTCCGTCCGACCGTCGTAACTCTTCTCTCCCGAGACCTTTAAGTCGAGCGGGTAAGGCTGAGCCATTACCGCTGCTGTGAAAGGCGTCTGGTGTAGGGTCGATCGGTCGGCCGGGGGTGCTGTAGGATACGCACTCCTGAGCTGCGCAACTTCCGCCTGGAGGTTGTAGAGCAATCCTCGGGTTTCGTTAAGCTCGGCGGCTTGAGCGGCTTGGGCTGTATCCCGAGCGCGTCGTCGTCGGTGAGATCTCGACCCGCTATACCCGGATGAAGCCTCGTGGCTAGCTTCCTGCATTTGTACGTCCTCTTGCCCGCGATTCGGGTCTTGGGGTCCCAGACGCTGGCGCATCTCTGGTCGGAGACGATCGAAAGCTACCGCTCGGGCAACCTCTTCAGGGTCCTCCGCTTGAACGGCCTGAGCTGGTGCCTCCATCGCATCAGCACCCCCCGACCCCAACCGCGAATGAGCCGAGCGTCGAGCCCGGGAAGTGGACTGACGCTGCGGCTCTACTTGTTCGGTCGGTTGTACTGTAGGGGCGGCGGCTGGAGCTGTATAAGCTGGCGTATATGGTGGATAACCAACCGGGGAAGTGTAGCACATCGGTTGGCCTGGCCAATACCCGTACGGTGGAGGTGGGACCGGGTACGGGTACTGGGCGGGATACATCATCGGCTGCTGCTGGTATGGCAGACCGGGTGGTGGGTATCCCGGTTGTATGTAATTCACCGGCTGCTGGGCGGCCGGGTATGTATTTGACGGATGTGGTGGTGAGAGATTGAGGTTGAGGTCCATTGTCTGACCCTGCTGTTGGGTGGCATAGTGGTCGGAGGAGCTCGCCGCATCCGCCTGGTCGTCGGCGAAGTTATTGTGTGCCCACGGATACATGTCGTTATGGTGATCGGGTGCTCGTCAAGACGTTGGCTTCTTGCACGGGTCCCCACAGACGGCGCCAAAATGATACTGCTAATTCTGTGTAAGCAATATAAAATAACACGAGACCAATTAAAGCAAGTAAAATCTTTATTGATCCCGGTAAAGGCCCTAAGTACAATCTACTTGGCTGCTCTGAGTACCGACTGACTGCGGTCGGGATTCTCTAACAACAACCTATCGATCGTCCAAAAGTCCCTTACACTGTAGCTACTGTGGGTATTTATAGCCGCTATTCCAGCCGTTCGGCATGTCCTCCACGTAGCCACCACGTGTCATCCTCCCGGGTGCCCTGCCTGTCGATGTAAAGAGCCGCCACGTGTCCTTCGTCAGCTCTTTCGCCAAAGGGCTACCGCTCGGTGGTCGACACCGTCGCTCGGGCAACTCCGGTCGGTCTACGACCGGGTTCTTCTCGTGGAGCCCGACCTGTTACCTGTAAAGACAAGGAGAAAGAGACAAAAGGCTCCTCGGTCGTGGTGAAGCTATGTCGGTCGGGATATTCCCTACCATACGTAAAACGCTATTAGCGCTTGCGTTTTACCGGGGGTCCGGCGCCAGGTACTGTTCATCGTCTAATCGGTGTTGATTTTAATGGTGGTTCATTTTGAGTACTGTTCATCGTTTTGAGTTTTGTGTATCTCGCCGGTTCTTCTGGCCCCACTGTGCCCCACTGTGCAGCTGCTTGCGAATTAAATCAAGAAGTGAACTCAAAAGTGAATAGTGAAACAGTACCATTATGTGTCGTATTTACAACTTGATTTCATTAGTGCAGCTTGATTTCATTAGTGCACAGTGAGTTCTTGATTTCAAGAAGCAGCTGCACAGTGAGTTCACTTCTTGATTTCATTAGTGCAGCTTCTTCTCACTAATCAAGAACTGAGAAGAAGCATTTACAACTTGCGTTTAACCTATTCGAAGCAAAAACTCACTTGCGAATTGCGTTTTGTGTATCTCGCCGGCCTTCAACTTCGCCGGCGACGGCGAGTACAAATAATTGACAAAAACGCAACTTGGTTTTGCGTTTTACGTATAATACGTAAAACGCAAAACAAAGTTGCGTTTTGTGGGATACGGTATTGCCGCAAAAACGCAAGAGCATATTGTGTTTTACGTATACAAATACGTAAACGCAACTGCCTCTTGCGTTTTCCTCAAATACAAAAAAAAAAAAAAATACGAAATACATCAAAAACGCAACTACGAAAGGAGTTTTGCATATTTTTGTCCAAAAAAAAATACGACACATTTTGGAAATTTTGCCTTGTTGACCGCATATTTTAGTCTTTTTCCCGTGTGGTCGCCATGAGAGTATATAGCTAGCTACTAAAGTTTATATTAACGGAATTTAGAATTTTAATATAATAATTGGTAAATAAAAAAATTATTAAATAATATAAACCACTCAATTTAAGAAACATTTATAATTAAGTACTTAATATTATTGACTCTTATTAGATTTGTTGATAATAAAGAACATTACTAAATAAATATAGGCCCTGTTTGGTAAAATGACTATTAGCTGATAGCTGTTTGTTGTTAACTGATTGTGTTAATTAAAGGGTATAAATAGTTGATAACATTAGATGATTGTAGAAAAGTGTTTGGTAAATTAGCTGTTAGCTGATAGCGGTTTAGCATAATTTCTTTTCTCAAAAAGCTAATTGAAAAAGTTACTTGGAGTAGCTTTTTGATTTTAGCCTTTTGGAGTTGCAAAAAGCTAATTAACCAAACATTTCTATTGATATTTTAACTAAATCAAATAATTAATAGTGATTAAATAAGCCAAAATTGACCTATAGGCCAATTTTTACCAAACAAGACCATAATTATTAGTAAATTAAAATAAGCTATAAGTATGTAAATAAACGTTTCATCGTCTCTAATTCTCTATGTTACTCAGGCTTGGCAGATTACTACCATCTCATAGCAACAGTAATTCTCATTTCTCAATCAACTCTTAACATCATCTCTTTGGTGCTCTGGTATCCCTCCTTGTTCTCTGCTCCCCTCAGTTCTTGCTGAGTTCCATCCCCTAGAGCTGGAGCCGCAACGAATACGAAAGTCTCCGAGTTCGGCTGCACGGCCACTTGTAGGGTGGACGAAGGTATGCTAATTCTTGTTCATAAAAATGTGGCCTTTGCTTAATTTTCTAAAGAATTGTATGGGTGTAATAATTCTAATAAGGATATAATCCCATTTGGATATTTCTTTATGCTATGGTAAACTCACTGTATGGCGGAAAAATTCAAGAACCCCTACATGCTCATAACCTGTTTGTGTTTATTCCTGTATAAAGCATTGTGGATAGGAAAAGGCTTGTTATTCTTTATGTGTATATGTTCGTGAATCGTGATGAAGTATCCCTTGACTTTTAACTAGCATAGTGAAGCTTTGTGAAAGTACAACTTCTCTAAGCAATAAGCTGCAAGTTCTTTTTTTGGATTATAAAGATCTGTTGTATATAAGGTTTTCTATCTACTATTGAAAGGATTTGGCAGCAATTTTTATCCTAAGAAGATTTTTAATGCTCAAGAAATTAAAAGCTGATTCAAACCAAAGAGCAAACCCATTGAATTGAAACAAGTGGATCAGTTTGGTCTGAATTATTGCAAACCTATTGGTTCAGTTTAGTTTTTAGTCTGACCAAAAAACTGATCCTCACTAAACATGTTCATAATTCTGTAATTTTTCTATTGTTTCTGTAATCTTTTTGAAAATTTTAGTAATTTATAGATATTTTTAAAGCCAACCCCAATTAAAACAGAAGTTAAATTTTCAGTTTCGGTTTTTGTTTGGCCTTCTAAACACACTAAACTCCCCAGATACTCACTCCTAGCTGTTAGTACCTAACTGAATTTGAGTTGAGGTTTGATAACCTGTAAGTGGGTTCTTTTTAGCCTCTTTTATTTGATATTCTTTAAATGGTGCTTAGCATTATTTTATGGGTTTTGTTCCAGGGTGACAGGTGATATGGAAGTAATCCCATATTTCCAAGAATATCCAACGAACCAGTCTCAACTATTAGCTGCAAAATTGACATGAAAGCAATCAAAATTTCACATGCTTTTTATCTCAGAATTTTTGTGCCAAAATCTTCTCATCATTACTTCTTTTCATCACCATATTCTTCATCTCTTCAAATAACAGCCATTGATGAGATTGAAACGGAGACCAGTTCTATCTCAAGCTCGCTTTACAATTTTCTTCCGGATACAGAAAATCCCAACAAAACGGTCAGCCTCGTATGTTCTGCCCTGAAGCAGAGAAACCTTGGCAGCACCAACCAACAAGAGGAGCTTTCTGGTTGTTTGCTAACAAGCTCTGAGATCTCAAGGGTCCTCTTGCGATGCCAATCTGATTCTTGTTCTGCTCTCGCCTTCTTTGATTGGGTCAGAAGTATCAACAGCAATCGTAATAGGTTAGACACGCTTAATTACTGCCTTATGGTTCACATATTGGCTTGGTCTAGAAAGTATTCCCAGGCAATGGAGATTCTATCCGAGCTGGTTCAACTGTCGGTGAAGGAGGATTTGGTGTTCAAGGGCTTGATTGATAGCACTGGGTTGTGTAATTGGAACCCTGTGGTGTTTGATATGCTCATCAGGGCTTACCTCAGGGCGGGAATGCTAAAACATGGCTTTCGGGCATTTCTAAATGCAGCCAAGCTCGGGTTTCTGCCCAGTGTCATTACTGTTAATATTCTTTTGAATGCACTTTCCCAGTCGAATCATTTTGTCAGGTGTTGGCAAGTGTATGCTGAAATGGAGAGAATTGGGGTGCATCCTAATTCGTGTACGTTCAACATATTGACACACACCCTGTGCAAGAACGGGGATGTGGATAAGGTGGACGAATTTCTGGAAAAGATGGAAGATGAAGGATTCGAGCCCGATATCTTCACCTACAATATGTTAGTCGATAGCTACTGCAAGAGAGGGAGGTTGAAAGATGCAGTGTATTTGTATTACATTATGTACAAAAGAGGCGTCCCCCCGGACTTAATAACCTATACGACCTTGATCAATGGTTTCTGTAAGGGCGGGAATGTCAAAGACGCTCATCAGCTATTCCTCAGGATGATCCATAGAGGCTTCATACCAGATGCTATCTCGTACAATACTCTTTTGCATGGATACTGCAAAGACGGGATGATGCAGGAGGCCAGGTCGTTGTTGCACGACATGATTGGAAATGGAGTATGCCCCAATAACTTCAGTTGTTGGACGGTTGTAGAAGGATATAGGAAATATGGTAAACTTATCTCGGCTTTGAATTTGGTTCTGGAGCTCCCGAAATTTGGTGTTACAATATCTCATGATATACATGAGTACATAGTACTTGCTCTGTGCAAGGAGAATCGGCCATTTGCAGCCAAGACTCTCTTGGACCGTATATTTTGCGAAGGCTTTGAACCTAACTTGGTAATATATAGAGAGTTAATTGTTTCCTTGTGCAACTGCAATTGTGTCGATGAGGCATTGCATCTGAAAGCCGAGATGGTGTCAAAAAATTTGAAGCTTTGTCTGACTACATATAGAGCTATTATTAGCGGGCTATGTGGATCAAGCCGAAGCCTAGAGGCAAATTCCATGGTGCAAGAAATGATCGATTCAGGGCTGCAACCAGACACTGAAATTTGTAGAGGTTTGATCACTGGGCACTGTGATGAGAAGAACTTTCAGGAAGCACAATTCTTACTAAGCTATTTTGCTGAGAAATTCCAAATTATTGATACGGTTTGTTATAACAAAGTTGTATGTCTTCTTGGCGAGAAAGGTGATGCTGCTGAATTGATGGAGTTTCAGGATAAAATGATGAAAATGGGGTTTACACCAAATCAATTGACATGCAAATATGTTGTTGGTGGACTCCAGAAAGCTTTGAAGATTCACAGAAATAATATATTGGTGCATTAATCTTTCAAGGAGAGTGTTAAAGCAAAGGAAGCAATCTGTTTATCATCTGTCCAAAGAATTGTGCGAAAAATACAAAAGCATATTTGAAGTGTGGCGGGCGAGAACATTTTTGTAGCAGGGGGTAGATGACCCGAGCTATTAGCAACAGCAGCGACAAGACAAGATATCGAAGCATGTATAGGGTCTTGACTTCTCTTCAATTTCCCGCGCTGTTGGTAGTGGCTCCATCCTGTATATGTTGCCTGGAGCGCAACAAAAGTCGTACAAGTTTCTGCATGCGCCTTTGCTAAATGGAAACACTCTTTCAGGAATCCCCCTGCATCGAATATCAATCTGTGTTTTAGAATCATTCATGATTTTTCATTTGGTAACTTATCTTGACGTGTTTCCAGTAACTAGTATTGATCAATCTTTTGATAGCAAAGCATTCAAAGTCATTTCAGTTAATCCATTGCATGTGAGCAGAATAAGAGTTTTGAAACTTTGGAACCAGATTTAAAGTCGTGTGTGTGTGCGATATGACTAGGAAGCAAAATGGAAACTGACCTTAAATATTGGATGCGCCGCCTCCTTACAAGCTCGTAGGTGGTCTGGTTTGTCAAAACAAGGTAGCTGTTCAAGATAAAAATTCAGTTCAGTATAGTATAGTATAGGTTACCGAGCATAGAAGAACCATAGATCTAAATGGTGGGGGCTCCTACTGCTCTGATAAATACTACTGTAAAAGTGAAGAAAATACTCACCTATGGAAAAGTAGGAGTAGAAGCAAAAACACGAGGCATATGAATAAAATAGCTAACAACAATATCACAAATGCGTATATCCACCTGAAATTTGAGACGTAAATAGACCAGAAACACGAGGAAAAAAGTGAAAGATGTATCAACTATCAAGACAAATATTGTCAATGACAGATACATACCAGGGCTTTGATAAATTAGACTTGAGGTATTGAATGTATAAGATGCCAGTCCAAATGCACAAGGCGGTTTCCTCACTAATGTACCACCTAGTATAAAATAAATAAATGAAGGGTGTTCACACACTTTCCATATGAAACCAAACTAAGTATAGAAAATTATTTTTAATACAATTAGCAGAAAGATGTTTGATTCTGCAGACATATACTGTAGGTCTGCATCACATAGAATAATGTACACTTACCAAAATTTGCAATGGTTACCCTGCCCTATACATGTCCCAAGCCAAACACAATGATGATCAAACTGGAGAACACATTTGTCACAATCCTGACAGTGTTTAGTTCGTGGGGGCTGCATAAATTTTCCAAGGGAAGAAACGTGAATAGGATTGTATTGCTTGAACTGTGATTAATTTCCTAATAATGTGAAAAGTACAAATCATAATTATAGTGCACTGAAGTGAACGGCCATTTTCAAACACACAAAAGATAAAATAAAATACAATAAATAGAAACACTCTACCTGCAGGGCATTACAGTGAGTGCATGTCACAGTTCTGAAAAACACCAGGAATAAATTATTCATGAAAATTGAAGGATTTTGATGTAGAGCCAATAAGATAGTTGCAGAGCATTGACAATGGGTAAGGAACAATACGAAAAACATAACCATAATGATTAAACCACTCACCGACCTAACAGATGTTCCATGGGGGTACATATCCATCACAAGCTTTGTCCAAGATGTCGCATTACTATCTAAAAGATCTCTGCCCACCTTGCTCTGATCAATCGTAATAACTACACTGCCATTTTTGCTTGAAGCAGGTTTGCCTTTGCTTGATCATTCAACATCAAGATAAGCAGCAGAAAAAATCATTAATTATTATCTGATTATTGAAGTCATATAAAGATAACAGAACTCTTCCCAAATTCATTAAATGTCTTTTTCTTTACATACATGTATACACGATCAGAAATCAGAAAGATAGTTCTCTTACTTTGAGGCCACTGACATCCTATTAGACAAGGCACCTGCCTCATTCACAGCCCTCATTGCATCAAGAACATACCTATATTTTTCCAAAAGAAAAAGGAAATGAGATTAAAGTTGTCCTCAGAATAGAAACCTTTCCATACTATGGGCACTCTAAACCAAGGGCAATGAAATGCAATAATGATGGATATAAAACAAAAACAAAAAAAAAAAAAAAAAAAAAAAAAAAAAAAAAAAAAAATTACCCAGGAGAGGAGCCAGAAGTGATGAAATACTGAGCCAGTGTAACAATAAACAACAATAAATACATCGCCGTATACCTATGAGAAAAATCAATTAACAATAGGAAGGTTATTTTCAATTTTATCAGCAGAAATTAGAAGAAATTAATATCCATACCATTATACCAATAGTCCACAAAATACATTTTGCTCCATCCATTGGCTTCATCCCATTAAATTTCCCCCAAAACTTAATCAAATTGTTTAAATATCAGTCTGACACTACACAACCAAAAGACCAGAAGGGTTGAGACTTCACTCTCTCTGAGTAAGAATCATTATCTCTCTAGTTAAGCTAGAGAAAATACTAAATTGGATGTAATGGCATTGAGACTTCACTCACTAAATGCATTTATAAATCCAATATTATCAAGAACACATTGCTATTACCATAGAGTTAGTTACCAATCAATCCTCAGCACCTAGAAAATTAGCAATTCCCTTCAGTAGCTAAATGTAAATCTCAGTACCTAGAATTTCCCTTCTCAACAATTTCATATATTTATGCCGTGCAAAGAAAGCAATTCTCAGCCAAATTAAACCCCAACTAACCAAAAAGATCATATGATCAAAAACTCAGAACAGAGTCAAATACACCATCATTACCATGGCTCTTGTCGCGTTTTCTCAACCAACTCTTTGTCAATAATAAATAGAACACCGGCGGAGACCACGTGCAGCATAACCAACGCTACTTTCAATCCCAGCGTAGCTCTCCGAGCTAAGACCAGAAAAAAAAAAAAAAAAAAAAAAAAAAACGTTTCAAACTTCAAATTCAACACACTACGAGCTCAAACACACGCACTGCGCGTGTAAAAGCACGTGTAGCTATAGAGAGAAACGATGAATTTAGTTACCGGGATCGGAGAGGCAGGGGAAGAGGCGAAACCACCGGTCGGAGAAACGATCCCACGTATCGCGACCGCCGCCGCCGCAAAGTGCGCCCATTTCCTTCACTCACTCGGGAAGATTCTCCGTCACTCACTCGCTCATTGCAGGAAATCTGAATCTGGAATTGCAGCGCAGTCAAATTGCAGTCTTCAACGTTGGGATTTGGACCTTCGCAGACTATTGAACGATGATAATTCAACATGAAAAATGTTTATATATATATAACATTTAAATATGAAAAATGTAAAAATCATTTTATTATTATATTATTTTTGGAACGAATTATTATTAGTATAGTCCGACTATAGTCTATGTATGGGTTTGGTTGAATCCGTATTATGGACGTGTTTCATGAGGATTGAAGTAGACAACACTTTTTTTGGGCGATAAGTTTGTTGGTCCAAATCCATTATTTACTGTTCAATTCGTTGGTAGCATGGAAGTAGGGCTAATTTTGCACAACAATACAAGTAACAAAAAATTATTATGAGTTTATAACAAATAAATATCAATTTCTTCTCTATATATATTAAAACGAAATGATTAGGGCATCAAATTTTCCTCAAACGTTTGAAAACATTTACTGTATTCACATTATTTTATAAATTCATGTAATTTTAATTACAAATCAATATCAATATCAACATAATTATTAAATTAGTCAACATAACATGTCTATATCATTAATTTATAAATATTGCATATATTATATATTATATATCACTTCTCTTTTCTTCTCTTTCTCTTTCTCTGTATATATTAAAGCAAAATGATTAGGGACAAATCTCGATCTCCTTCTCTATGTATATTAAAATAAAATGATTAGGGAAAAAATTTTCCTAATCATAATCATCATAAATAATTAAATAAAGATGAAAAGAAAATTAAAGTGAATAATAAGCAAAAATTTTAGTGGATAGGAAAGTAATTCACAAAATTAATTTGAGTAATAATTGTTGATCCATAATTGAGAATTCAGAATCAATATTTACATGAACATCTACACCTACTTCAACACTATAAATAAACCATCATCCACAGGACCATAATCAATACTACAATTATGTTTTGGTCGTGGCGGGAATTGGGAGGATGGTTGTGGCTATAATAGGGAGAATAATATTTATGGGAGTTTAGATCTCTTATAGAGCTTTATACCGTGCGATCTGGGAAAGATGAATCAACAAATGCGCAGTAGACATGAAGAAAAAGTTGATGATAAAAATCATATCTTGCTTCTGAACCTGGGGCTTTGATTCTTGGAGCTGTTATTTCTTAGAAGCAGAGGCAACCGTTAGCCGTAGCGCGCTCATGAACGCGAATAAGAAGAAGAAACAGTTTACGTAAAAAGACTATTTTGCCCTCATGAATAAAAAATTTAAAAAGGTTTAAGTTTTTTCGGCCAATTTTCATCGGTGATTTGGTTGGAAGGATCAAATTTGCTAAATAAATAAAAAAAACATAGTTAAATTACTAAATTGTTAATTTTAAAAGTCATGAAGCGAAATTAACACGCCCCCTATAGTCATAAGACCAAAAGTGTAATTTGTTCATTTGTTAAATTAATAATAGTCCGTGCATCGCACGGGACACTTACTAGTTACAATTAAGCCATGAAACCTTTACAATATGCAACTGACTCATCGAGCATACTAAATTTGTACAACTTGACTAAAAGTGTTTTGTCTACCATGTTAAGTAGTAACGTGACATTTAACAATTTTTTAAAAGTAAAATTTAGACGTATGACGTTTGGAGGATAGATTTTAAATATTTATATTTGAAAATAAAAAGTCTACAAAAAATGTAATGTGTAAGATTGTATAAAAATCTATAACTTTTTTAATATCAACAAACTTTTTAGAGTAAAATTTTATTGCAAGCTGATGGTGGACTGCCTTCTTAAAAGCAAGAAAGTGAGGAACAATAGCCAGAATGTTATCGAGGCTTGCCAAAAGGAATTCCTGAGATTTATCCAAGTGGAAATAAAACACATCTACAAGGAGCTTAACAAGACATCGGATACTCTGGCCAAATCATTTGTGCATGCCCCAAACACATGCATG